CAACCACCACCACCAGCCCAACGACAACCACCACCACCAGTCCAACGACAACCACCTCCACCACCTCCTCGTGGAGTGTTTATTCGAGGTCCACAACCATTGCCGGGATTCCCAAGACATCGTCGAGAGATAACAATCTATGCGTGAGAGTTGTTCTGACCCGAATGTTGTGCGATTAATGTGAAACTGCATTAATAAACACAACTAAGTTTTGGCTTTCAAGCATAGACAGCCCAACCGTTGTTGGTCATTTTTCAGACAAAGATTTTAAGTTAAACAAGAAGCTAGCTGGCTATCCCGGTCTCGCCCGGGACCTCAGGTTGGGTTACGCTAATAAAGTTCTCGACTCCTGCTATGCGCGAAAAGCGCGATGAAACGAGTTGCCGCATCTTCCCGACATTGAGATCAAAATGAACTTTACCGGCTCCCGTCTGCATGATCCTGGCAAAATGTGGTTAGAGCATGACAGGCTTTCATTTTTTTAAATGTAAGTAAACAAATCAATAAATCGATAGAAGGGTCCAGTGAATCGCGCCGAAAAGACCTATGAACTGCGCCGTGGCCTGTTTATAGGGGAGGAAATTTTAGCTTTGTAGATCTACTTACAAGGGAAGGACTGTTGGTCGAAGTGGGCTTTCCACATGTGATACATGTCTTTCTACTAGTAAGGACCCACTAACACTGAATCCGTATTCCTCAGCTGCGCAATGGTCATTTGCAAAAAGTTGTGAGCGATCGTTTTCTTAGGATGACCATCGCTGAGGCCATTTTAGCGCCGCCAAATACTGCACATGCATGGGAACGGCCGCGAGGATAACTGCAGACACTATGGAACATCCAGTTAAGAGATCGGATCCTATGCCCACTCGAAGTTCTCGCATTTTTGCAGATTGTCCGGTATAGATCCCTAGAGAGTTTAGATGCCAAAAAAGGTTTGGATAATGCCTTTAGAATAAGAGATTACGTTACTAAAGTTTACATTAATGAAAACAACAAGATTATTTTAACACTCATCTGGAAAAATTTGAAGCCCCATTCAATGTTTTTATCCAATGTTGAGAATTTTTGAATTTGGAGTCTGTATTCATACGTTACTTATATCGGACGTGGTCGTTATGAGAAGTTACGGTTGAATTTTGTTACATCCTACCACACAGTATTATTATTAAGTATTAATATATTATTATTTTATTATTATTATTAAGTATTCAAGTTCAATATATGAAAACATTTTGAAAAAGTTTGCAATCGTTTTAATTTAATGAAAAAGATATTAGGTTTGCTTTTTGCCTTCCGAAGCCCTGAGGGATACAAACCGAACAAGTCGCAAAAAGGTAGAAATTCCCAATAGGATCCGAACTCGTGGCTGCTTGTTCCATAGTCTCTGCAGCTATCTTCTCGACCATACGTCCATGTACGTGCAGTTTGTCGCCGCTAACATGGCCTGAGCGATGGTCATAAAACGATGCTCATAACTTTCTGCATAGAACCATTGAGCAGCTAAGGAATACGGATTTAGTGTTACTAGGCCAAGACCAGTAAAATGATATGCATTACATGTAGAAAGTCCACTTTGACTAACGGTCCTTCCCTTGTAAAAAATTTGTATTCGGAACAAAGATTCACACAGACGTACACACTTTGACTTTTATATAGTCTAAAAGTTCGTGCCGTTTTTCAGACCTGTCGTGTCCTTGACTTCGGACACTTTAATTCTTCGTGGTGGTGGTGGAGACGAGGAGTGAAATAATAGTTTTATTAAGAATAAATAAAGCAGTACAAAAAGAAGCGGAG